CATTTTTACATTTAGATATATGTGAGGCCATGTGACAGAAAAAATATTGTTTCTGTTCAGGGCTTTAGGGCTGTAACGGTGGTTACAGAAGTGCACGTGACGTCACGCACTCTATAACAAGAATAATACAAAGTTTTGTATACAAGTGTAATAACAGTAGTCATCTCCAAACAGCCACTGTATCTCATCTTCTGTCATTATTTCATTATTAGGCTTTAGAGTGACAGATTCTCCCTTCATCACTTCTATCTTCCTCGCTTCATGTGTGAGAACAGTGCATAGAAGGATAGAAATACACAGATGCCATTAGATCAAGTATGTGTGCATGTGAACATCAGAGTATGAAATTTGACACACTGATCATGCAGATGCTGTTTTATCAGTGATAATTTTTACATTGTTGTGTAAAAAATGTGTTGCAAATGAAATTCTTTAAAAAAAAAAAAAAAAAAAAACTACATATATTGCATTTTTACATTTAGATATATGTGAGGCCATGTGACAGAAAAAATATTGTTTCTGTTCAGGGCTTTAGGGCTGTAACGGTGGTTACAGAAGTGCACGTGACGTCACGCACTCTATAACAAGAATAATACAAAGTTTTGTATACAAGTGTAATAACAGTAGCGGAACAGTGAACCGTGTCTACACCGGACGCGACACCGCCGCATCGCAACAGGTTGAGTCTGTCTAGTGCAGGGGTGCCCAAACTCAGTCCTGGATGTTCGGTGTCCTACAGAGTTTAGCTCCAACTTGCTTCAACACACCTGCTGGTAAGTTTCTAGTATGCCTATAAGAGTTTGATTAGCTGGTTCAGGTGTGTTTAATTGGGGTTGGAGCTAAACTCTGCAGGACACCGGCCCTCCAGGACTGAGTTTGGGCACCCCTGGTCTAGTGTCTACACAGGACATTTGAACTCTGTGTCAGTACCTCATTAATAGAACGAGGCAGTTTTACTGTCGGGGATTTGTCATGTCGTGTCGTGCCGCATCCAGTTTTTTTTATTGGTCTTATGAAGTATTCTAATTTGTTGAGATAGTGAATTGGTGGGTTTTTGTTAAATGTGAGCCAAAATCATCACAATTAAAAGAACCAAAGACTTAAACTACTTCAGTCTGTGTGCATTGAATTTATTTAATACATGAGTTTCACAATTTGAGTTGAATTACTGAAATAAATGAACTTTTCCACGACATTCTAATATATTGAGATGCACCTGTATACTATTTAAATATTTTTGCCTACTTAAAAGCATTATCTAAAAACAATGTAGCTACAATAATCAAAACATTCTCATCTTGAGCAGAAAAGAAAGATAACTAGAGATTTCAAAGTTTAAGTTCTATCCTAGCCATCTAACAACAATTTTCCCAATTATAATTACATGATTCTTTTGAAATGTTCTTAGCCTACAGATTAATAATGCTAAATGTAGATCACAAATGTCGTCACATCTGGTTTGAACAGTCAGAGTCATAGGTTATATATAGATAAATAGATAGTATGAAAAATAACTATATTTGCAGCGTTGTTGTTTTCTGCTGTGTTTTATTGTTTCTGTTGTTGTTAAAATAACCGCGTCATCCGCAGCTCTTGAACTTGGCGCCGGTGTTCTGACGATGTGTGCTACGCTGTCAGATTTTGCTACCTCCCATTAAAACAGATGGTAGCATAATTCGATAGCGAAAAGTGCTACCTATCAGATTTTGCTTCCAGCATGATATTAACATGTACTCCTACCCCAACCCGAGATCTACCATTACAGTAGGATAAATACAGTGTTGGTAGCATAATCTGATAGGTAGCCTTATTTGTTAGAACACTGGCGAGTGTCCGGAGAGAGAGAAAGTGCACAGAGCTGAAAGGGCTCGAATAAAGCGCGTTTGGTTTTTGATAAAAATACTAGAGGATATAGCGCTGAAAGATATTTACCATAAACTACCCTGAGCGATTGTTATGTGATCTGCTGCACTGTTTTGATGCGCTGCTCATTTAAAATGGTGCTGTGTTACATCCATCATAAAAGGAGCTCTACACAGCTCCGGTGGGTTAATAAAGGCCTTCTGAAATTAACCGATGTGTTAGTGTAAGAGGAATATCCATATTTAAAACTTTATGAACCATAATCTGTAGCTTTCGCTAACTGTAGTACGCACGTTCATGAGAGAGCGGCATTCTAGCGGATAACGTAGGATGTATGTGTAGCGTAAACACCAGTGAGAAGAGACGAACGTGGAAGCACAGTAGACAGAGCAAAACAAAACCCCGGTCACGAATTAGAAGTACATAACGAGGATTCGTAAAGAAAAATGGCGGAGGATTTCGATATAACCCAAGAGGAGACTGGTTTTCCTTTGCTGTAAACAAAACTTGGTTCTCACAAGATTAGCATATTCTCACCGGAGCTTACGCTACGCCTACGTCATCCGCTGGAACACCACTCTCAACATGTTTAAAGGCACAATATGTAAGATATTTTTTATTAAAATATCCAAAAACTACTATAACAGTGTTATATTTTTTGCTGACTTGTGTACTTACATTATCCCAAATGTTTCGAAGAATGTTTAAAATCCAGAGAAATAAGCAATTTTAACTAGTGACACGGACCGTGCCCATAGTGTCATTGTGTCGCCTGCCAATGACGTCATAACCCCTCGATTTCCGGTTTTGTTTTTTACAAAACATGAAAACACCAAAGGTTCTTTAATATGTTATGCGTTTTATTAGACAGGTGACGACCGCACAGAGTAGCATTATAACAGAACTTTCAAATGTATTTAGTATGATAAAACAGCGCTATACTTGGAGCGCATGACTGTGGCATAATAAAAGCTCCGCTGCTTTCGAGCCGTGTGTCGCGCTCGTTCAGCGGCCTCGTTTCGCTTCGACTGCTTTCAGCCTCACCCTGCTATACTACGTTAATAAATCAGTCATTATCTCATCCAGGAACATGATTTCTGCCTGAGTCCCGTTGGATTGCATCGGCTGTGGGGATGAAGACGAATAACTCCCATGATTCCACACTCAGTCACAGCGTCATCAAACTACACCTTTGATTCTTTGTTTGGTTTGAATATGCGCCCTCTAGCGGCGAAAATTACATATTGTGCCTTTAAATATAACTCTGATTGTATTCTTCTGAATGAAGAACGTTATTGACACTATTTTCCTAATTAATGCTGTTCAGTTGCTTTGTCACAATCTGTATTGTTAAAAGCGCTATATAAATAAAGGTGACTTGACTTGACTTGACAATGGTGCGTCTGAGATGAACACAATAGATTATAATATATTGATGATCATTTTAATATATTTACACCTTTCTAGCGGTTGTATAGATTTAACTGATTAATGGCGGCATCTGCTAGGATCAATCATCTATCTGCCTATCTGTCAATGTGAAAATTGTGTCAAATATAATTTGTTAAATAAAATTAGCAATGAGTGGAATCAATGATTTTAAGCAAATACAAAAACTAAAACCAGATAGATTTCTCTTAATTTAAAGATTTAAAAGATTGTTTCCCAATAATTTTCACCAATATGGGCTCATCTTCAGACCATGCTGGCAAAAAGCTCTTTTGGTACATTTTTGTATGTGGGTCATTTTGTGCATCAGACATTTTGAAATTTGCACAAATGTCTTTGAGTAATCAAAGACAGCTCCTTAGCTCTTACATATAATTATGTGGAGCGGAATTTGTGACCAATAAATTTAAATATAGGCAGATAGAAACTTAGCAAGCAACATCCTGCATGCTAGTTAGGACAAAAACTCAGATTTGTACAAGATACATTTATTTGCTTGTTAAATTATTGCATCATGTTTGGAGAGAATGCAGATGACAGTCACTTTTGTACGGAATCTCAAGAATCTTAATGTATTGCTTATTTATTTTTAATTTACAATTTGACTCCCAGTATTATGGGAAAGATTTCAGGGTCTTTAGTTCATGCATTTAGTGGACTCACTCACACATTACACAATTTAAAGACACATCTGTGTCAGACACAGTTCCTCATCACATATTTCCACATTTAAACAGTTTTAAAAAGCTTTTCAATGCAGCAGGACAACAAGACTAAAATAGTTAACTAAGTTAAACCCACATGCTCTGAATGTCCACCCTCACCTACAAGATGTTTGTCCACCCAACAGATCAAACCACATTTCTGTAGAACAAACAACAGCAGCTTTCAGTTTGACTCAGAAACTGAACTTCAGTAAAACCGATAGTGTGAGATGGCAGACAGTTTTAACTTTCACTTTTTTTTTCGTACACTAATGTTAAGAACTGAATAAATATGCACAACAATTTAAAAATCACAAAAGTTTCATTCGTTTTACCATGAAATGTAGTTTATCCACAGCTCACACAATTTTCTTCTACTTCTGGCCATTTAAGACAGTCAGGCAACTACCTTACAAAAAGTATGTTAAAAATATAGAATAGTTTCACCCATTAAAAACAGTTAAAATACAAGGATTGGACGAAATAAAACATTATACCATAAGCAAATATAGCATGTGAACTAGGAGGGTCAAATTCTGTCAGGGGAGGAGTCACATCAGGTTGAGGTTTTATTAGATCAGACACTGAACCACTGAAAAAAAATGTTTCGCATGTTGGTTTTGTTCTGTTTGTGCTGGTGGAGTCTGACTGGTAAGTTAAAAAAACGTTTCTTTATGGTTATTTGTTGTTGTTGTTGTTAAGAATTAGACAATTTTCATCTGCTACTATCTGTACCAAATAAATCATTACTATGAGAAATCTCATGGGAAATCTTGACAGCAAATGTAGATGTCTTTGTTTATGTTCCGCATGGTGACTCAGAAAGCCAAAACCTTCCACTGAGTTGCTTTTAAATATCAGGCAATTTTTGTTTTTCTTTTTGGTTTAAATGTAAATTCTATTTTAAAATAATTCCATGGTTTAAAAATTTTAAATGCAGTCATCATACATTTCTACAAAAGTCATGAAAAGTCACTAGTCCAAATGCGCAGGAGCCATGAGATCATGAAAGACGGTAATAAAACAGTGAGTTTGTTTTATACTGTTCTAAATGTCTCATTTACTAAGTATTGAAAATATTCAGCACAACTAAACTATGTAACTTTACACACTGATTTTACCCCACAGCAGATAACTTTAAAACAAATCCCTGTTCAGGTTGTGTCTCTGCTGTTGTTGTGGATATTCTTCAGTTCACATGCAAATGATTAAAACTACAGCTGATTTCAGGATTAGTAAACCAACAGGAGCATTGATCTGTGACAAAACCTCTTTATGTTCATCAGGTGTGTTTGGTGCAGAAACTAATGAAATACAGTCAGTGTCAGTGATGGAGGGAGATTCTGTCACTTTAAAAACTAATGTTACTGAATTACATGGAGATGAAGACATAACATGGAAATTTGGAGCTGAAAAGTCTCTCATAGTTAAAATCACTGAGAAACGAAACTTTTCAACATTTGATGTTCCTGATGGGAGATTTAGAGACAGACTGAAGCTGGATGATAAGACTGGATCTCTGACCATCACTAACATCACAACTCAACATGCTGGACGCTATGAACAACAGAAAAGGGGAGTGAAACTGTCATCAAAAATATTCAGTGTTTCTGTTTATCGTGAGTAGAGATTATTTGTCCTACCATTTACATATTATTGTTTTATAGTTTGAGGTGACAGATCGTACAAAAACTCACTCAACACTAAACCAGTAAAATAAAATTGTTTTACTTTATCCATATTTCTGTTTATTCTCTCATGTTTTTAGCTCATCTGCCTGTTCCTGTCATTAGAAGAGACTGTTCTTCTTCATCATCATCATCATCATCATATTGTTCATTGTTGTGTTCAGTGGTGAATGTGAGTCATGTGACTCTCTCCTGGTACAAAGGAAACAGTTTATTGTCCAGCATCAGTGTGTCTGATCTCAGCATCAGTCTCTCTCTACCTCTGGAGGTGGAATATCAGGATAACAACACCTACAGCTGTGTGCTCAACAATCCCATCAGCAACCAGACCACACATCTGGACATCAGTCAACTCTGTCACACATGTTCAGGTACGGCAGCACTATATATGTGTTTATTAATTGACATGCTATTTTCTTATAGATCAGACTGACACATTCACTTCTCTTTGATTACAGCATTGGATGAACACTTTACTTCACAATCAGTCTTTCTGATAGTGCTGGTTTCTGCTGCTGCTGGATCTCTGTTGATTGTAGCTGCATTTGGGATCTTCTGCATCTGCAGGAAACACAGAAAAACTGATCAAGAAGGCAAGAGTTGCCTAAATGACATGTAGATTTTTAGTTTAAAAGTACACTTGATAATGCTGTCAAAAATAATTTGGCATTAAAAACACAATTGCATACATTAATGCTTTACCTTGTTGCAAAGAAACAGATCTAGATAAGATTGTGTTTTGTTGTTTTAATGCATCTATTATTGTTGTCAAAACAGTTCAGACTCGTACAGAAGAGATCGCTTACTCTGATCTGACATTTCACAGAAGAAATGAACAGAAATCGGTAAGACTAATTATTCCTAATTGCATGTTACTCTGTCAACTAAGAAACTATACTGTGTATATATACTAACTAATATAATGCTGGATCTTTAAAACTTCTGTCAACACTACAGACTTCAACTCTCAACATTTTTTTTGTTCAATTAATTTAATTTAACATTAGAAAATATGTCCATAAAACGAATTCAGGTTTATTCAACAGAAACAAGTCCAGGTTTGTGTGTCAGCTGACTACTATAGTATCACATATTAGTGAAAACATAATTTATTGTTGGAATGAAGCACAGTTATTTCTCACTATAATAATATTTGTGCATTGCATTTACATTTATTTATTTAGCAGACACTTTTATCCAAAGCGACTTTCAATTGGGGAATGCATCAAGTGATTCATCTTAAAGAGGCATATAGACACAAGAAGTGCTCGTAATACCAAGTTTCAAGCATTGTTCAAGCATTGTTCAAATAAGTACAAGCTAGACAGGGAAAGAAAACTGTGAAAAAAAAGTGTCAAAGTGTCAAAGTCAAATAGTGACGAAAGAGATGAGTTTTCAGCTGTCGCTTGACAATTGTCAGTAAATCAGCATTCCGGATAAGGGTTGGAAGATCATTCCACCAGCCAGGAACGGTGAACGAGAATGTTCTGGAAAATTATTTTGAGCCTCTCTGTGATTGTACCACGAGGCGTCGCTCACTAGTGGATCTCAGACTTCTGGAGGGGATGTAGATTCGTAGTAGTGAGTGGAAGTAGGCGGGTGCTGAGCCTGTGGCTGTTCTATATGCAAGCATCAATGTCTTGAACTTGATGCGAGCCGCAACCGGCAGCCAATGCAGGGAGATAAAGAGAGGTGTGACGTGGGCCCTTTTGGGCTCGTTGCATTCTGCATTCTGAATTATTTGTAAAGGTTTGACTGTGCATGATGGAAGTCCAGTCAGAAGAGCATTGCAGTAGTCCAGCCTGGAAATGACAAGGGCCTGGATACAGGTCTGTAGTTATCTATAAGTGAAGTGTTTAATGTAGGTTTTTTGAGCAGTGGGGTTACCCAAGCATGCTTAAATGCAGAGGGGGAAGTGCCTGTGAGAAGAGATGTATTGATGTGTGTGAGTGCTGGTAAGAGTGTAGGAGAGATTGCTTGGAGGAGGTGCGAGGGGATTGGGTCTAGAGGGCATGTTGTAGGATGGCTGGAGAGGAGAAGTTTGGATACTTCTGCCTCAGTGAGGGGACAGAAGGAGAAGAGGGGGTGTTTTAGCCATGGATGTTAGTTGGTTTGAGTCCCTGTATGTGTGGAGCCGAGAACTGAATACTGATTGTTCTAGTTTTGTCTGTGAAGAATGTGGCGAAATCATCAGCTGTTATAGAAGTGGTGGGAGGTGGTGGAGGGGGGCAGAGGAGAGAATTGAATGTTTTGAAGAGGTTAGGAGCGCTGTTGATCTTGTTGTGGAAATATGAAGATTTGGACACGTTACACACCAAACATCTTTCCCTTGGCTGAAAAATATATGCTTACATTTCTACAAGTGGACTGAACCTTGTGTTTGCTAACTTTAGCAGAAACTCACTGTTAAACCATCCAAAAGCTAAATCACACATTAGACCAGATTTTTTGTGTCCAATTCGGAATTATTTCAATCCATTGTATAGTATTCATGCGAATCAGTGAAGCCAGAAAGTTACATGCTATGTCACAACCAAAGGAATTTGTCTGTCCAAGATGTCTTTCTAAGAGAGTCACACTTCTCTTTGTTTTTAAGTGTTAACATCTCTTGTGTAATGTTTTTTTTAGCATGTTAAAGAGGAAGACAATGTGGAGTATGCACCTGTTGCCACGAGAATATGATCTTCAGTCTTCAGTGTTTTTCTATCAGATCTGTGTCACTGCTTTTACTAGGAATCTCCTGCAACAACCTCAAACTCTGATTCTTGGGATGAGTTTAAGGATTGTTGAGAATCACCACGTGTGACACTTAAGGACTGATTATTGAAAGGATCCCCTAAAAATATACCTTTGTCTCATTTATGTACACCTGTTGGATAGACAAACAACTTGTGCATGAGAATGTGTCTACTGCTGGATGATTGTGTTGGATGTATTATTCTTTAGTATGATGTATTAGACTTATTTTGATGTAACAAAGTGGTTAAGTGTGTGAGTTGTTTACTATATTATTTGAGTGATTCAGACTGATTCGCTAATGCGCAACATGCACAAACACAATAGGCGGGATTTATGCATGAACCAATCACAGCCAAACATAACCAGTCATATCCAAACACGTGACTTTCATTCTGAATGTGACCCATTCATTCTCAATAACCCCCACTAAACCCACTGCTCATTTAAGGCGGTCTGTTACAACTCAATGGGCTCAGAGGGGACTAGAAAGATGCAAACTCCCGCTGAAACTTTATTTGCTGGTGTCACTGTTGGACAACGTTTCTTTAGAAAAACAAGTGATTTATACACTTTTTAATGATATATTTTGTAATAGTGGCATTGTTTTATTTTTCTACTATTTTTTTTTCTCATCCAATATTTTGAGGAGACACTGCTTCCTCGGAGGAAACCCCTCTGATTAAAGCCTATAATAGGTACAATTTCACCATGTGATGGGTTTTTCAAGATTGCATCACATATAATTAAGATCGAGGAAACAGCCTTGCAAGCAAAATTACATAAAATTTCTAATACATAAATAAAATATGTAACCGTTTTTTAACGATTCCAAATTATTTTTCACAATTTCTAGAATTTGTACAGGCTATGCATTTTTCAATTACAAGAGTATGATAATTAGCAATTCAATTTAATTTTGAAGAGGATTTGTATATGACAGCATTAATTAAAGTTTCTTAATCCATAAAATTCCATTTTAAGACATAACTGGCTGTGTTTAAATTAATTGCGCCTCATGAAATCATTGTGATATTTGAGAAGTGGCTGCATCTCTTGCAATACATTAAAGCCCCCGGCATAAAAGCTCACCGTTCAAATTAATGCACGACTCAGACACACAGTAATATGTCTGTTTATAAAACGGTTAGTTCCAGTCCTCGATTCTGATTGGTCAGCAGCTGTGTTTTATCAAAGACTATAGAATAGTCTATAGTTTTGAATGGGAAAAAGGCAACGCTCAATATGGCCACTCTGTCAAACGAAGCCCCGCCTTCTGAGTAAAAGAGCCAAAGTAAGTTTCCTGAGTAAAAGTAATCGCGTCACTGCAGCTGCCATTAGAAGGCCCGGTTGCTAAAGAAGCTCTCAGTGTTCTGAGACATGAGCTCAGGACTGCACATGCGCACTGGCTGGTCTAGCCTAAAAAATAAGCTTTTTTTAATGCTATTTGAGCAAAAGAAACAACATTTACGAGACAGTTGTTGTCAGATTTCATTGGTGATTTCAAATATGAAATTTAGTCTTAAGCTTGGTGAACAGTTTTGGAGAATTTGATATTTCCCCATTCAAAGAGATAGGAGCTGCACTTGCATGCCCGAGAGGCATTTAAAAAAGATGGCCACCGTGCGACACCGTGTGACAAAGTAGTGGGTCTCAAACCTCTCCATGAAGTACCCCCAGCCATGCACATTTTGTATGTCTCCCTCATCTATTACACCTGATTCAA